TTTTTGGTATGTAGAGAGCCAGTTTTTCCAGCACCATTTGTTAAAGAGGCTATCTTTCTTCCAGTGAGTATGTTTGGCCCCTTTGTCAAAGGTAAGGTGGCTGAGTGTGTTCGTAGGGGCTTCAGCGTCTTCTAATCTATTCCATTGATTCTATTTGATCCCCCCATTCTTTATTGGCTGTTCATTTATCTTCTGCACAGAAATACAAATAAAATGTAGATACTAATGTATCCTGCTGAACTTATTTTTTATTTCTACTACTATCCTTCCTTGGATTTTTGTGTGTATGTCATGTACAAATACAGTTCTACGTTTCATTCTTCTCTGTACAAGCAGGCCTCACACATGTTGCCAAATGCTCTTACTACTGAGCTAAATTCTATACTTAATTTCTTTTATTTTTCTGTTCCTACTGCTTTAGCTGGAATTGCCAGAATAATTTTTTTTTTTTTTTTTTTTTTTTTTTAAGATTAAACTCAGGACCTTGTGTGCGCTTTTCATGCAGCTGAGCTATATCCCTGGTGCCTAGAATAACACTGAATAGAGGCAGTCATCTTTTTTTCCAGGAATTTGTCCATTCATCTAAATTATCTAATGTGTTAGCAGGGAGTTATTCATACAATTTTCTTATGGTCCTTTTTTTGTTTTTGCTTTTAGTAATTTGATTCTTCTTTTTGGCCAGTCTAGCTATAGTTGATAAGTCAACTTTTGTTTAGGGTAGTCTTCTCTATGGTTTTTCTATTTCATTTATTTTTGCACTGATCATTATTATTGTCTTTATTCTCTTTCCTTTATGTTGAGGTTGTTCTTGTCTTTTATAATCTTTTGTACAAAGAAAGAAAATACTATGAAGGCTTCTATTTTATTTTATTTATTTATTTTGCGGCTGGCTCAGACCGCCCAGGTGGTGGGACTGGTACAGCATGTGGTATCAGGGTTGAACTGCCTAGGCTTACCTAAGCAGGCACTTTAGACCGCTGAGCTATCTTATTGGCCCAAAGGTTTCTGTTTTAAATTAAAATGTACTAAAATGTTAACATGGTTTTTTATTTCCCAAATTTGTGCCTTTAAAGTTGACAGTGGAGAATTTCCAATGTTTTGACCAATTTTTAATGTCAAAGAAGAATTGCAATTTTCCTCATTAATTATTCACATTGTTTTGTCAGTTTTCAGGATAATTATTTTTATGGTTTACACTACTATGCAAAGTGAGGGCATTTTGAGAGACATACCTGTGGTATACTATTCGTTTGGTGGTGTGCAATGAACCATACTAGATCCTCATATTCATATCCTCATAAAAATCCCTTTCTATATGTAGTCATCTTGTGTGGTACATAATTAGTTTGTTAATGAGATGTGTAACTCTTACAAAGAGAGGATAACAGTTACACACTAAAGCTTATCCTCTTAGAAAGCTCATTCTTCAAACCAATCTAGCCTAGAGGAGAAGCCCTTGGAAAATTAAAAACCTGGCTAATAGTCCCACTTGAATTTCAAATTGATAGGCAACACCAATGTGCTTACCACATGTGTAGGCCAACCTGGAGGCAGACTGGCCCTGGCTGAGCCATCACAGGTGATAATAAGCTGTCCTTGGTAACCTCTATCCAAGTTGAAGAATTGTAAGTAAATACATGATTGTTGTTCTTTCAGTCATTAAACTTTTGTGATTTCTTATACAATATTAGATAAATAATAGAAGAATACAACAAAATTTGCCAAAGGTTTCAATGTACAGTATAAAAGAAAAAGCATGATTCCAAAACTTCAGACTTAAAAGCAAAGTTACCTGGCCATGTATCAAACAGTCTTAACCTAAAAAATTGACATTGGAAGTGAGTAGTGATAAAGAAAGTGTACAAGGACTAAATTCTGGATCACTTAAATATTTAGAAGTTAGGGAAATGAGTAAACACCAGAAAGAGAGAATGAGGAGTGTCAAGTAATAAAAAGATGACAAAGGGGACTGTCAAGCAAAATGAAACAGGGTTTGGAGGAGCAAAGTGTGTCAAATGCTAGATAAGTCAATTAAGATGAGGAATGAAGAGACCCAGAGCGCAGGCCCGGAGAGTGAGTGAGACAACCGGGGCCCTTCGGATCCTGAATAGACCCAGAGCGCAGGCCCGGCGGTGAGTGAGATGACCTGGGCCGTGGGATCCTGAATAGGCCCAGAGCGCAGGCCCAGCGAGTGAAGTGAGACAACTGAGGGCCGCGGGATCCTGAATAGACCCAGAGTGCAGGCCCGGGCAAGTGAGTTACACGACCCAGGGCCTGGCGGGATCCTGAATAGACCTAGAGTGCAGGCCCGGCGAGTGAGTGAGACAACCTGGGGTCCTCCAGATCCTGAATAGACCCAGAGCGCAGGCCCAGGCAAGTGAGTTACACGACCTAGGGCCTGGCGGGATCCTGAACAGACCCAGAGCGCAGGCCCGGCGAGTGAGTGAGACGACCCAGGCCGCGGGATCCTGAACAAACCCAGAACGCAGGTCTGGCAGAGTGAGACGCCCTGGGACCCTCCGGATCCTGAATAGACCAGGAGCGCAGGTACTGTGAGTGAGTGAGACCAGGAGGGCAGGTACTGTGAGTGAGTGAGACGACGGAGGCTGCAGGATCCTGAATAGACCCAGAGTGCAGGCCCAGCATGGAACCCTTCAGCAGAACTCCTTGAAAAGAGGCTAGAGGCAAGACCCACCCAGCTGATTCAGGAGCAGAACATCTTGCCAGAGTGACACAAAGGGTTCAACTCTAACGGCTGCAGTAGAAAGAAGTGGAGCACAGCAGCCAGATCCAAACAACACCCACCTGGAGGAATCTGAACTTCGTAGATCCAGACCTGGTGCTAAGGTAATAACTCTATCTAAGCTCTATACCAAAGGTCAGAAGACAGTGGTATACAAAATGACAAAGAGAAGGAACAAAATGCAGTATCAGGCCCCGAGTCCACCCAGTACAACTGCAGAAGACACTAGCACTGAGGAAACTGGAAGTCACACACCAGATATCTCGGAAATAATAGCG